TTTTTTTTTTTTTTTTTTTTTTAACTTTCTCTCCCGGTCTCCTATCTCTCATCGCTCCCGTCTCTGGTCCCCTTCCCATCTCTTCAAAGTCTATTTTTTAGTTTCCTATTCTCTATTTTTATTCTGCTCTTTAAATTATTTATACTTTGCATTTCCCATCTACAGGAAATTGCACAACATTTAATTTACCATGTCTGATTTATTTCACTCACCATTATGGAACAATGTGCATCTGCTTTCCCACCAGTGACTCCAATATATCGCTCCTTAGGGCAGATTCTGAGGGGGATTTGCCACAGGTCTTTTCATGCGTACTATTGGGTAACAATAGAGCATTTTCATGCCTACTGTTGGGAAGATTGAATGAGAGGAATCAGCATGGGCAGAGGGAGAACCATCACAACAATAGGTTTTCTCGTTCTTAACATCTGCTTGCTTTGTACCCTGCTACCCTTGGAGGATGCCCACATGGGAGATAGTTTTCTTTTGCTGCTGCAAAAGACTGAGAATGAGTCCTATATGCTCTCTCCCAGCCTATGCTGCAAGATCAGCCCTCCCAGAGCTGTGAATCAGGAGTACGTCATACAAGGCAGGAAAACGAGGCTGTTGCAATACTGCTGAGCTGTGCAGAAAGTCATGGTGGTGGCAACAGTTGCTGGCTCGGGTTTGGTTCAGCGCAAATGGAATCAGCACTGTGAACTGCATGAGAGTGCAGAGTTGAAATGCGTATCCTGTGTGAATTAGGCTACATAATTCCGTAGGGGCTGGAATTCCAGACTGCATCCTCCCCAAGCCGAATTCTCCAGTCCTCTTGCTTTAGCCACCTAAAATCCTGCCTCTCTGTCCTCTAAATATTTGTTCAATGTGGTAAAATAGAAATGACAAAAATGGGACTATTTTAGACCATTTTTATTATTTCAGTGGTATTATGTACATTCACAGTATTGGGCACCAGCACCACCATCAGGTTTTATAATGTGTCATCTCCCCAGGCAAAATATCTTTACCTGCTAGAGAGTAACTAACTTCTTGTTACTCTGGTCTGGTGCCACTTCTATTCTACCTTCTGTGATTTTGCCTATTCTAGCTGCCTTGTCTAGTGGTATTATATAAAATATTTCCCTCTATGTGTCTGATTTATTTCCCATAATGCAATATAATACAATACAATACAATTCTGTGCCACATGTTTTTTCTTTTCTTTCCTGCCAGGAATTGAACTCAGGCCCTTGAGCTTGCCCATGCGATGCTGCACTGCTGAGTTACATCCCTGGCCCTGACACACCTACTTTTAAGTTGATAGCCTTACATGCTGTATTCCTAGTGTTTTAGAGCCTCATTTTCAAACAGAATGATTGCCATCCTCTCCTTAAGAAGAACTACCTCCAAGGTGCTTTGGGAACAACTGTTCTAGCATCTGTGTCAGTTCAGTGTAGAAGCCATTCTGATGAGAATGACAACTCACAGTTGATAAATTTATCTAAGTGCAAAATAAAGTGATGAAAATGTGACTCTTGATGACAGTCTCCTTCTGATGTCCCAATAACTTTTGAGAAAGAAGGTATCTACTCTGAACTGCAAAAATCACTGCATTTTTTTTCTCATAGACAAGGCCAGAGTTTACAGGCCACATGTTACAACTCAGTAGACAACATTTTTTCCTTTGTAATTCAGTGCATGTCACCCAGTTGGCCTCATAAACTGTTTAACTGCAGCAATATAGCTTGCTTAGCATTGCGTGTCTTTCAGGTTGCACAGCTATAATTGACATGCAGGATCCAACTGTATGCAAAGCTTTTGAGTTTTTTATGAAAGAGCAAGACTGGGCAGATGCTTTTAGTGGTAAAAATCTAAAGTCTCAAATGGGGAACAAGCAAAAGTTGAGAGAAAATGTATTGAAAATATGAGAAGAAAATAAGACATGAAAAATAATTTTTTGTTGTGGGAAGGTATACTCCTTCCCACAGAAATGAAATTATACACAGTCCTTACCTGGATCTGCCAATAACTTTTTTCAGCCTTAGACAAATAATATAACTTCTTTGAGCATATTCCCCTTTATCCATCTATCACATGGATTCTTAAATCCATGGGCTGTCA